GTCAACAAATTATTAGATTTTAGAACCGTGTCTGCTTCTTTTTTTTGCAGAAAAATTATAAATAAACACCAGTGTATGTGTGTTAACGGTGAGTTTTACATTTTGAGGTCAGAAAATAAGTAAACTATACATTTTAGGATCTTATCAATGTATCTAATTTGTGATCATATTATGGATATTGTGATCACATAAACAAAGGGAAAAATGCTAAAACAAAAATAGCAAACTTACAATTCTTGCCAAAAATATTCATTTTTTTCAGTAATTTTTTTAATACCTCAACTTATCGGATCCAGACGAGTTATATGAATACAATGAAACGACACCGTTTCCACTCTATGAACTTAACCAACTATTGGAGAATATAACCGATCCAAATCAAGGATAGTAACACAAACCGAAATAATCCAAATCGGGATTATGAAATAAAAAAGTCAGTTACCAAATTGTTTCTGCGAATTTCGTTTTGAATTTGAGAAAAAGAGAGAAATGAGTTTCTTCACTGTTGCTTGCTCTGCGCCAAGATCTTCCATGCTTCTCACCGGCTTGAATTCGAGCTTCTCCGATGTGCATCGCAGTCCACTATCGGTTTTTCCGTCGAGTATATCATCCCGGAGCGGGAAATCTCCGGTATGCCTAGCCGCTGTTTCGTCTGATTCCGTACCCGACGAACCTGGATCCAAAAATCATACTCGGTCCCGTCGCCAAAAGAAGGAAGTAGTCACGCCGATTGCTGAAACCGAGAACAATGACAAGTTTCCGACAAAGGTCCCGCGTAAACCAAAGCGCGGGCGGCGGAGCGAAGCGGACGCTGTGGAAGATTTCGTGAGAAGCTCCCTCGAGAAAACTTTCTCCACTATAAGAGAGCAGAATCCGGAGGTTTTTGAGAACAAAGAGAAGGCGAATTTCATCAAAGACAGAGGCGTTGATGAAGAGGAAGAAGAAGAAGAAGAAGAGATGGTGGTGGAAGAGGAAGATCCATATTGGCCAGTAGATACAGACGTTGGATGGGGAATCAAAGCTTCAGAGTATTTCGATACACATCCAATCAAAAACGTGGTTGGAGAAGATGGGACTGAGATTGATTGGGAAGGTGAGATTGATGATAGTTGGGTCAAGGAGATCAATTGTTTGGAATGGGAAAGCTTTGCTTTTCATCCTAGTCCACTCCTTGTCCTTGTATTCGAGCGATACAAAAGGTACAAGCTTTGTTATTTCGTTGACGAATTATCACAAACACTTGGTGTGCATAGGAGAGAGGTAGTAAAACTATGAAAGCTTTGCTTTTTTTTCCTTTACAACATTTTCTAGACTAAGTTGAGAGAGCCATTTGAGTTAGATTCAATTGCAATGAGGACAAAAGCTGAAACTTTGGTTTTTTTAGTTTGAAGTTCTTAGAGTGACCAAAATCTACTACTGTTGGAATCATCATTTGAATTGCTGGGCGTTTTATAGGGCTAGTGATAACTGGAAGACATTGAAGGAGCTTGAGAAAGCTATCAAAGTTTATTGGGATGCAAATGATCGATTACCTCCACGGGTATGTAAAACCCCTTCCTTCTCTAGTGTGCAGTTTATGTTTAAAACTTGTGCATTACTCTGTGTCTCATCGTCTCTTTCATGATGTGATTCCATGTTGTTGATAGAAGTATATAACTCTTTATAGACGTAGCTACTCTTTGTAATAGAATCACCATGTTTGATGAAACAGGCGGTTAAGATTGACCTGAACATCGAGACAGATTTGGCATATGCTCTTAAAGCTAAGGAATGCCCACAGATTCTCTTCTTACGCGGAAACCGGATTCTGTATAGGGAGAAAGGTGATAAGCTATGCTGCTAACTTTGTTTTCATTTTTTGCAATACATATGAGATATGGATTATCATACTGTATTGAACTTGATGCAGAGTTTCGCACAGCGGATGAATTGGTTCATATGATTGCGCATTTCTACTATAAAGCGAAGAGACCTTTGTGGGTCGACAAGGCTAACGTAACCCCGTACTGTTAGTTTGCAGCGGGAACAGAGAGTAGTTTCACTCAAAGGTCAGTCTAGGAAAAGAGTTACAAAAACTTCAAACACAGATTGTAGCATTTTTGTATGTTCTATGCAAATATAAAGTTGGTTCCCAAGTAATGATTTTTACTCGTCAATCTTTCTGTTCTTACTGCTTCCCTACAACGTTAATTCGTAAGTGATGGTATATATCATACTTACCTGGAGAACAAATCTTCAAGGGTAAATATTAAAAAGCCAGCTCCTTTTATTGGAAATCAATAATTCAATATTAGCAAAATTGTTTGACGATAAGAAAAAGCAAATTAAAACAAGAAAAGAATTCCACAAACCTAATCTTATAAAGACTAAACCTAATGTGTTTAGTCTCTGATCAGTCAAGCAGCTTCTTACGCTTGGCGTAACCAAGGGTGACCATGAAAAGCACAATGCAAAGCGCAACAACAGCCCACACCACGTAACCAAAGATGTCAGGTGTGCTATACAATCCAATTTGTATGTTCATACCGAACAAGTTGACCACCACTGTCCCTGCTGTTATTGCATAATTGGCTATATTCACCACCATCATTAGGTGGAACAGTCCGTTACGTCTACTATTCTGTAGTATCTTCACGTATGCTTCTGCGCCATCAATGTGCTCCTTCATCTGCAATTCAAAAAAATTTCCAAATTAGGTTAAACGAAATTAGAAGTAATTGAACTACCCCTATAGTACTTATACTACTTACCATAAGAATTTTGTTCTGCATTCCCTCTAGTTGCATGAAGTATGCCTCAAGCAACATCTCCAAATCATCAACGTCATCTTCCTCCGTCACCATACTGGCGCTTCTTTCTTTTGATTGGGGGACAATGCTATTTGATGGTGCCTCGGTTTGTTGGTTTTGAATACATTTCCTTGTTAAGTGTAAGTCTTCCATGTCTTCCTTGTCATCTAAGAAATGTTCGATTTCATCTCTCACCTGAATAATGTACACAATAGCTTTTATGTATCCATCCATCACACAGCATTAGAGTATCATGGGAAAAGGTAATAACATTTTACCTTTTGTACACGGGCTAGCAAGATGGTGAGACTACTTTTTAAACTTCGTAGGTCTTTAAGATTCTCATTGGTGACCTTCTTGGTTAGTTCATCAAGAATAGACCAAGCTTGTGTCTCAAGGTCTACCACATTGCTATCAACAAATGAGCAGACGACCTCGAGTGCAATCTCTAGTACCTGAAATTCAAAAGGAAGCTTATTCTCCAAGCCCTCTTCTCCACCTTCTTGATCACCAAGAGAAGGAGCAATTTCAGGACCATCCTTCCGAGGAAAGTGATGCTTTAGTCGGTTAGTGAGTGTAAGAACTTCAGGACGGAGAGAATCCAACAACATAACTTCTTCTGAAGTAATTACCGCCTTTATGACCTCTAAATTCAGGACAATAGCTTTCTCTCTGGCTGCGTCATAGCAAAACATGGGTTTGTTATTATCCGTTGTGAAAACTAGTCAGCTAAAAGACATAAACGTGTGTCTACCTAGAATTTTAGAAGAGTGAGAGAAACCAGTTCTTAAATCCTTAGCCGAAACAGAAGAACGTTCGATGATGGTGCTCTTGTCACATCCAACCACTTCCATGAATCCAGTCCGATCAAACCTCGTCCATAGACAGACTCCTCCCCTTCTCTTCTTCGACTTCCCCGTCCCTCCCACGATTGCATTGATAGGCGGAAGAGGCGGAGGAGGCGGTAGAGATGAAGGCGTCCTAGTCATCTTCACCGCCGTACCCTTCTTCCGGTGGCGGTTGCTCGTACTACGGCGAAGTGATCCCATTGACTTATCTGCCGCTAGTCAGAGATCTCTCCACCGAGTCCTGCCGTTTTTGCTTGGCTTTCTATTTTCCGACGACGGACCCGAGCAGGGTTTGTGTTGTGTGTTTCGTTTCGGTTTCGGCCATGCGTTTGTTGTGCATTTAGGGTTGGCAAGTGTTATTAACTAATTTAAAGTGTTTTAAGTTGATTTTTTGCTTTTCTTAAAACTTGTAAAAGAGTTTTTGCATATTATCATAGATATATTGTGGAATTATCTACGAGATCGTGCATAATCTTTTTTTTTAGTGTTTGTTTGTTATAACCCTTTTTTTTTGGACAACTGTTGTGTATTTAAAATCGCCAAACACAAACAATACACCACGATAGATGTATAATAAAACTATTGAAGGATAATCTAATAATTCAATAATCCATAGCATATAAATAAAGAACCCTTGAACAATTAGTAGTCATATTAAAACAAACAAAACAAATTCAACAAAATATAATTTTGCATCTCCAAAATCATCGTTCCTATCCACACACACACACAAAAAACTATTTAGTCATCAAAAATATTCCCAATTATTAACTACTTTTCAAAGGAAAAATTGTTGATTACCTTAATCGATGGACCGAAGTATTCACAGGCAGCTACAACAGTCGTACTTGTCTCTAAGATATTTTCGAATCTCTCTAAACCAGCACGACAAAACAGCCGAGAGTATGACGAAGAAGATAATGATGCCGGCTATGGCATAGGAAGTAGCACTACTCATCTTGTTCTTTGCAACACAACGATTTTTTGTTTAGTAACTTTTGTTTATGTTTCGATCTTCTTCGTTTAGACGATTGTATTTATAGACAGCTCCAGTTTATATGTTAATAAGGAAATTCCTATATACTTTACTTTTTCATAAAAGTTAAGTGTAGTCACGTAATCTTCCGTAAATATTAACTTTACATTTTGACGACAAAATTTTAAGAAACATAGTAAACTTCACATTTTTTCGTTTTGATTATTTTGTTGTCACTAAGGATATAAAGGGAACAGTAAAAAAAAGTTTCCTGACAATGTTGCGACTGTTTGATTCATATTTTGATCCTTCAGAGTTCAGACTCTACAAACTATTATGTTGGAATTGAGCTTTCTCTTTCTTTAATCAGCTCAACATTCTTGAATCTTGGTGCATATATCATTTGCTTACATCTTTATTGTGGTCAAGATAATGCTGAAGTACTATTCCATGATTCATAACAAAATCTGTCTTACAAGGAAAAAATTATTTATTTCGACATGAATACTAATGGGATGGTTTGAGTTCTTTCTTTTTACTTCTCTATACTTTTCTTTTGCTTTGGAGCGAGTCAACTATCTTTGAGGAAATGCAGTAAGCGGTAGACTGAATGGTGATCATTGGGTTTACCCCAACAGCTGAAGGCAATACACTTCCATCACAGACAAACAATCCCTCTGCTTCCCAGCTCTCACCAATCTCATCCAACGCACCTTCCTCCGCGGTGGCTCCCATCCTACAACTACCCATCTGGTGAGCCGAGAAGTATGTCGTCCAATACTCTCCTTTTGTGCTAACCCCGCCAACCGCATCAACTTCGTCTAGAAACTCTTCCATGGCTTCTTTAGTAATTCCCTCACACTTCATTCTCTGTCCATCACTCCTATATGTCCCGACTTCAACTGCGCCTGCTGCAACCGAAACCCGCAAAGCTTGTCGAAGACCTGCCCTCAGATTCTCTCTATCTTTCTTGGTTGTCCTGTATGTAACTTCGCTTTCCTTCATAACCTCACCTGACCCGATGTCCCGAACCAGAGCAAACACATGAGCTGTTCTTCCGTACTTAATCATCCGCTCCTTAAGGTCTGCTCCTGAAACCCACGGGCTCAACCCCGCATACGAAGCTGGTCCTATCAGTGGATTCTCCAGTATTGCTCTGCATCCTGATTCAGCATCATTCATGTGATGGACGGACGTGATGATCCCTCCCTCGTACATTTTCCCGGAGAACTCAGAATCTTTCTCCGGGAAGTATCCCCATGTCATCAGAACCGGGTGCAGCTTTAAGTTCCTCCCGATATTCGGGTTCTTTAGACCACTCGAAAGCATCAGAGGCGGTGTTAACAGCGATCCAGCGGATGAAGCCGTCATTCGAGCTTCGATAATAAACTTCTTCCCAATCTTTCCTCCAACAGAACTCGCAATCACTCCCACACATCGTTTCTTTCTCTCATTGCTACTGCTAGTGTTGTCTACTAATACAAATCTCTCAGCTTTGATCCCTGTTAGGATCACTGCACCATTCTCTACAGCATCAACCAGCCAGGTTCGGTCTGTCCCGTTCTTGGCACCAGCTCTACATCCGTACCCGCACAAGCCGCAATAATGATCCTCCGGTGAGTTCCTTGGAACTGACTCTACCTGCAAACCGAGTCTCTCGCACCCTTTCCGCAGAACCTGGTTCTGAAACCCGTCTTTGACACATCTTTCCGTGACACCGATCCTTGTCATAACTTCATCCATTGCAGACTGGTATTCTTGGCTACCGAAAAACTTGATCTTACTCCCTTCAGACCATTCCTGCAAAACATGATCCGGCGTCCTTATAGATGCGGACCAGTTAACCGCGGTACCTCCTCCAACAGTCGAACCCGCCAAGAGCATAAATTTCCCATCAACCGTCGTCAAAAGCCCGCTTTTTTCGTATAACTCAAGCATAGAAGGACCTTCTAGACCCGAATAATCCTGAGGTGCAAAGTAATTTCCTTTCTCAAGAACCAAGACTTTGAATCCAGCTTTAGCTAGGTTTGCAGCTGCAACACCTCCTCCGCTTCCTGAGCCTACAACAACCGCATCGCATCTGATCCTATGCACATTGTCACCATCGTCTCTCGCAACATGAACACCTTTTCCAATTAGAGATTGTGTGATGGTTACGTCACTCTCATGCGTAGTCTCAATGATCCCTGTCTCAAGAGGTCGCCGTCTCTTATCTGCTTCACTCTTCTTGTTGCTACTTGTTTCTATCCCATCGAGGCAATACCCTATAGTTTCCAATGCAGGATTCTTCAGATTCTCATCCGTCTGTGAACAAAGAAACAAACAAACACATTACTAATAATCATTATTCACAGTTACTAAAATAAACTTGAAATGTTTGTGTTAATTATACCTGGGAAAAGAAGTAGAAGAGGGTATAGAATTTTGCAAGGAAGAAAGTGATTCGAAATGGAAGAAGGAATCCACTTTGTCTCGACCATTTCCTCAAGATCTCTTCTCTTTTATCCAATGGAAGTTGAGAGAATTTAAGAACAAAAGGCCAACTCTTATCAAGACAGAGAGACCCACAAAGCAACAAAGTTCCAAATCTGAATGACAAAATTATTAATATGATTTTCAAAACCTTGACTGCTTCTGATCGTCCGTTTTTCACTATCATCTCCGCCACCTAGAGGATTCCAAATAAATAACATGACCAACTTCATTATCTATATAATACTATTCCTAAATCGGAGCAAGATCTTGATTCAAATCTAGAAACAAAGGATATATATCTATATATATTGAGAGAGAGGGAAACAACCTCTTCAGTGAATGGTGGTTGAGTAGAGGAGGCTACGTTAAAGGAATTCAGAGCTTGCTGCTCTGCCGTGGTCTCCGGAGGGAGGAGAGTTTGACAGATGACGGCGAGAGATTGAATCTGAGACGGTGAGAAGCCATGGTTGTAGCCGTCTTCTCTCTTCATGGATCTCAACAGAGGATGTCCTCTGTTTCTTCTTCTATCTTCTTCCATGTTATTTGTCTATTACCAACTAGTTGGAGAATTGGACTAATGATTGGATCAGGATTTTGAGGAGAAATCCGTGAGCTTATTGAAGATTCAGACAAGTCTTCTTCCTTGTTTTGAGTTTTGTTTCTGCTGGCGGGTCCCACTACTTTAAGATTTGTACGACTACGATGTTATAAAGATTAGTCGATGTAAGATTAGTAGATCTTTGTCTTTGAGTAAGAATTTGACATCTCCAAAAGTTTTTTTCACTACCTCTCTCGAAAGGAATTTGTTTATTTTATATCTTCTTTTAGCATATTTTGTCTTTAGTCCCAACATTAAAAAGGCTTACTTTCGATTTATTTCTTTTTTTATATGAAATATTTAGTTTTTTTTTTTTAAAGAAAATCCCAACAATTTCTGTTTGACTAAGATATTGTTTAGAAATTTGAATGGTATCCTCTAATTTTCTCTTTCAGTTCTCTTATCTTTTGACGTTTTTTTTTTTTTGCCACAATCAGTTCTTAGCTAAGATTTATTAAAAAAAAAAAACATTAAGACATTTGTATGGTTACTTTTAACTACTAGTATGAGAAACCAATTCCTCCCAAGATACTCAACCATTCCAAAGAAAAAAAGTTTAAAATAGTACCCCATCCGTTTTAGTTTAGTTGTCGTGTTAAGACTTAAATTTTGTTTTATATTAGTTATCGTTTTAGGTTTTTGATGCAAATGTTTGGTGAAAATTTTAATTTTATCCCTACAAAACATTTTAGCCAATGAAATTTTTTATAAAATATATTAATAAAGGATAAAACAGAAAATTTAATGATTTTCTTAATTTGTGTGAAAAAACTTTAAAGTACAACTAAAACGAAACGAACGGAGTATATCTTTTCGTAGAAGGGTATAAATGTTTTGGTAACCTCAAGATACTCAACCATTCCCAAAGAAGTACTGTGACAGTGTATATTGTTGTTGTTAAGATTTGGTTTTCTGTGTATATTGCTTAAACTTTTGCGGCAAAAAAAAGTGTATATTCATATTGCTTTAACTTAAAATCAGGTCCATCGAGCTATTTTGTTACCTGTCGTTTCTACATCATTTTTGTGTAAATAATATATTGGTAATGAACTTCACGTATCACCCAAAAAAAACTATACAACAATAATTAAACTGAATCACTTTCATACCGATTAGCTATCCTTAACACTAAAAAAGAAGAAGGAAGACTATATACTTATAGCATTTAAATAAATTTTTTTTTAAAAAGTTATTAAATCTTGCCCCAGATCCAATACAACTAGGCCATGGCTAAACTTCCAAGCATGGTATAAGAGTTTAGTGAACACATTTTTTTAATATCAAAAACACAACAAAAAGCTATCATCGTTCAAAGCCTAATAATTAATAAATAATTAGTCGTCCACCAGTATAACGCGGTGTAAACAAAGGTGACCATGTAAGCTATTTCCAACTTCTTAGAGAATTGAAGTAATATATAATTAGAATTTTGGAATTTTAGTTTTCATAAAAAATATATAGGGAAACTAGTTTCTGTGGCTTAGGTTTCCTATTTTATTTGAAAACACAAAGCTAATACAAGTTATAGATTTTCTCAACAAAAAAAAAAAACTAAAATCTGAAAATTAAAACCAAAAAACACATGGGAAAAAAAGAAAGGAAAAGAAGGTCTAATCTTCCACCTGTCTAGTCCTCCACCAGTCGAAGAAGGTGTAAGCAAAGCCGACCATTAAAAACACAATCACCACATTCGACAGAGGGTAACCAAAGACGCCACCTGTGTAATAGAATGGAACTGGTAGCTTCACTCCGAAAAAGATGCAGTACAACATCGGTGCAATGTATATGCAATCATACTTATGGTAATCATTCTATCCATCTGGATCAGTACCTTGAGTCGTTTCCTTAAGTCTTCTGCGTCGTAAGTATTCTCCCACTCCTGCAATTTTTTGTTTGTTTGTTGAAACATATATTCGTTACAGTTGAGCCTATAGGGTTAGGAATTATCCACTAATTTCTGTTTTACTAAACTTCCAAGCAAAGACCTCATGAGTACTATCTCAAGAACTAGTGACGAAAGATATGTTTTGCAGGTAACCTAAAGAAAATTAAAGAACTCATTGAGTCTCCCAAGACATAAAGAATCCACTTGATCAAGAAACGGGCATCTAATAATAAGAGTAAAACAAAGAGAGAAGAAACCAAACCGTATCCTCATCGTCATCGGAAAGTAAGGGTAGATGAAGCGTCTCTGTATCTGCATCCATACCAACAAACTCAGGAGACCCCATGAGTAATTAAGCGTCTACGTAGCTGAAAAAAAAGTAAAAAAAAGTAGGAATAACTTCACAAATCTCAAATCAGAAATATAAATAGAGACGAGCACATAATTTACAAAACAATTAGGGTTTTAGAGGGGAGACGAGGTCGGCTTCTAATATTATCATAATGGGCCTGCGTGATATATTTCGGCCCATATCTTTTTTTTGAATAAATTATATCGACCCATTTATCAAATGTTCTGATTCGAAGAACGTTACATAATTTCCGAAATAAAAGAAATCATTAATTTGGTTTGATTACTTATAGGAAAACAACGAGGACCAAGAACAACTGCAAAAGGCATTGTACATTTTTGTCGTACAAAGAATTTAAACAGCGACAGCAAAAAAAGAATACTAGATAAGTAAAAACAAAAATAAATGAAGGGTCTGAAACACTGGCACAGTGGGGACAATGGAGGGCAGGAACCGGAAATAGAAATGGCATGCGTGAGACCTGTGCCGTTTCCGGTAAGAGATTGACATGTGTCAACTATATATTGGAAGACTTCTTAAGCCGTCGCTTTCGTACGACACAAACACTGTTCCCTTCGGCGGCTACGGGGCGTCCTTGTCGGTTCCTCCGCCGTTTGCCCCCTCTCCTCTCCTCTGTCCCTGTTACTACAATTCAGCTTTTGTTCCATTTCTTTTTTTCTTTTGTCTTTTCTTTTATTTTGACTAAAACGTATTGATGAGATTATAATTTTTTTATCCCAAAAAAAAGTGAAGTAGCAATAAAATAAAAGATGACATTTTGTGGAGCTTATATGTCCCATAAATTCCTTCTTTTTGCATTTAAAATTAGTAGTCACATTTGAAGTTCATAATGTATTTTATTAGACGTTTTTGAATTTGGATTTATGGAATGAAAAAATGGAAATGGTATCTTTGGAATTTGCCAATCAAGTAAAAAAAGAAGCAAAAAGAGGTTTTAAAGGGTGGCTTTTTAGTCAATGTGCATTAAAAATCAAAATGGTGTCGTCTTCTCTCTGCAAATATCGTCCGGTATGGTCCCAAGTCCCAACTTGCTTTTTCCTTCACCCTTTGAAGTTTTTTACCCACGGAACGTGAAGCTTTGTACCATTTCAACTTTATTACTATCTTACCCCTTCCATTTTTTTTAACCACAAATCTATTTTTTAATTGAAAAATTATAGGAATGTGAATAGTAAATAATACAAAAGTACATGAATTAGTAAATGCTGATGCTTTTACCCCTTGAAAAAAAATTCAAATTCTTTCACTTTTTTTAATAAAAATATAAAGCTTCATTAAATATCACTCGGTTTTGCAAGCAGGGGTAATTATGTATTTTCATCGAAAAAGGACATGACGAGCATGAACCCATAAAAAGGTACGTATCGCTCGTTAGCAACAAACCCAAAACCAAACAATCCAAGCAAAAAAAAAAGCTGCAAGCTTTTTGCTTTCTCTCTGCTTTCATGGCGTCTTCACGTACCAACCTCTTTCTTCTCCTCCTCCTCTTTCTCTTTACTGCTACACTCATCACCAGCCAGCAAAACGACGACGACGACGACGCTTCACCTCAACTCGCTCTAGACCCGTCGGAGCAAGAAGCGGTTTACCGAGTTCTTGACTCAGTCAACTCAGCCATCTCATGGCGAACCATCTTCCCCGACGACCTCTGCGCTTCACCACCAGACGGCGTCGTTTGCGATTACCTCTACGCTTCTCAAAACGGCGTCGCGACGTCTGTTCACGTCACCGAGTTCCATTTAGGCTACCTCTCGGATTACACTCAAAACCCTCCCTGCTCTTTAAATGCTACGCTTGATCCTCTCCTCTTTACTGCATTCAAACACCTTCGTAAGCTTTTCTTCTACAAATGCTTCACCGGAGCTCGTGTCCCCTTGCCGGAAACAGTCCCGGAGGATTTCGGTTCTGTTCTTGAAGAGTTGGTGTTTATCGAGAACCCGTCTCTCTTCGGCGAGATCGGAGCCATGATCGGTAATTTCACAAAGCTGAGAAGATTGGTTCTTACTGGAAACGGGTTTCACGGGTCGATTCCGGGTCAAATCGGAGATTTGGTTAGTATAGAAGAGATTACGCTCTCTAGAAACAGCTTGAGCGGTGGTTTTCCGGCGAACGCAACGTCTAGTCTGAAAAATCTAAAAGTTCTAGACTTTAGCCATAATTTTCTCAACGGAAATGCCCCTGATTCCATCGGAGACTTAACAGAGCTTCTCAAGCTAGATCTCAGCTTCAATGAGTTCACCGGAGAGATTCCTTCCGGCGTCGGGAAATTGAAAAAGCTCGAATTTTTGGACTTGAGTTACAACCGTTTCGGAAATTTCGGCGTTCCTCGGTTTCTAGCGGAGATGCCCAGATTGAGAGAGCTTTTTCTGAGTGGGAACAAGCTCGGTGGTCGTATACCGGAGATTTGGAAGAATCTCGAGGGTATTTCGGGAATTGGATTCTCTAGGATGGGTCTTGAAGGAAATATCCCAACTTCAATGGGTTCGAGTCTTAAAAATCTCTGCTTTTTAGCGCTTGACAACAACAATCTCGACGGACATATCCCGGAGGAGTTTGGTTTTCTGGACTTTGCTCGTGAAATCAATCTGGAGAACAACAATCTCACCGGAAAAGCTCCATTCTCCGACTGTTTCAGAGATAGAATCGGGAAAAAACTCAAATTGAGCGGGAACCCTAATCTCCAAGTCAAGAATTCCGATCATCATCTCGCCGGACGAGCTCTGTTTTCATCGGCGAGAAAGGTTTTACTTTTACCGTTGATTTGCTTCCCGGCGGCTTTATTAGCTCTTTACATTTTAATAACACAGTGAGTAAGAAGAACAAAGAACAGATTAGAGGAAAAGTTTTAACATTTATTATGCTTTTGACCTTTTCGATTAGAGGGTAAAGTTTTAATTTTTGGTTGTAATTATTAGTTTCTTCTGGTAATGAATGAAATTACTTCTGATTAGATTATCTTCAACAATTTTTACAACATTTCTTTACTATTACAAAACTTAAAAGTCTCTTGTGTTTTTTTTAATTACGAAAATGAAAATCAAAACCCATTTCTGTCGTCTTCGAATTGAGGTATAGATCTAACGGAGCCAGTATCTGACATATAATCCGACATTTTATCAGCTTCTGATATTCGAGACGATCTTGAAGACCCTCCATTACCACCTTCTTTAGATTTCTTCCTCTTTGATTTCTTTGGAATCTCTGGTAATCCAACACTATGTTGAGACCAAGAAGAGTCTTCGTCTTTAGTTCTCCTAGACGATGAGGTAGAATCTTCGTCTTTGGTTCTCCTAGACGATGAAGTGCCTTTGTTTGAAGTTCGACGTTTGGTCTTGTCTGATTTTTCTTTTGTCGGAGAACCTTTCTCAGATGATGATTTTCTCGTGGATTTTGGTAGTTTTGGTAAATCTCTGGACCGACCACCAAACTCTGATTGACATTTCACTGAGGAATCGTCTTCTCCAAATAATTGAGTTGTTGATTCCATTCCAGGAGAACTCTTGAAATCGTTCATCTTCCAAAGATTATAAAATATAATGTTAAATTTGAAAATGCTGAAATTTTAATTATGTTTGTAATGAAAGATAGGATTAAGAAGAGAGTAGTAGTACCCAGCTAGGTGCAGTGGCATTATCTGAAGGTCCATCCCAACCAATGTGGGCAACATGCTTTACGTCCGTTGGATTTCCGATTTGCATCTCTTGTTCCTTTTCACTTTCTATTGCTTAATACAAAAATTAAACATTGTCAAAAACTTTAATGTCCATTCATCTACAAGGAATTACATTGGTTCTATCTAGTCTCCGCAGAATATAGACTTTCACGGGATAACACTACAATGAAAATAAAGCCATCTCTTCTCTATTCTATGTATCATTTTGAATGTAAACCCATAAAAAATGTTGTACTTTTATTGAATATTAATATGCTAGCTTCAATGTATTTGTCTCATAGTTTTAACACTCAAACATATTATAGTCATCATTGAGTTCTAAAATATTGAAATGATATAGAATGAGAGAAGAATTTTAAAAAACTCACCAAAAACTTGAGATATGTATCGGAGGCCTTTCAAGAGGCTTTTCATCTTGGTACTTGACATTGCGAGTTGCATAGATCTCTTCTCTTTGTGGAAACCAAATCTTTATCCTAGTTTTTGTTTTATTTGTACAAAACGAATGAACGATGAAAGGAGCAAAAGATCAACGAACGAGCATATATTGAAAATATCCAAATTTCGTAGCTTAATAAACCAGTAAAAAAACTACAAAAATGACCTTTATATTTACAAAATTTTGTGACCATAAAACTCTTCAAAATTAAAGGGATGATGAAAAAATGAATAGGAGAACCATATATTTAGCTCAAGAATCCATAGTTTTCTTGAGAAAATAACAAATGTTCATCTTGAAACTTTCATGATCATGCATGTTTTTTGCAGGTTCTTGTATCAGAAATTTATCGATAAACATGTAAAGAAATATATAGAAAACAAACTATAGCAACTTTATCTAAAAAGGTCTACGATTTTCCTGATGAAAAAACGAAAAAGGGTTCATCAATGAAGAAATTAAGAAAATTTTAGTTTTACTAAAAATTTAAGAAAGAAAGATTTAAAAACAAGAAAAATGTTATTGAAGAAGGCAAAATAGCGAAGGGGAAGAAACGAGGAGAAAAAACAAAGATTGTTTAGATTTTTTCGTTAACTCAATGGTTTAGACTTTTTTTAATACTTCAGAAAACAATAAAAGGCAGAGTAGTATAGAAAAAAGAATGCCATCAAATGAATAACTACAAACAAACAAAAAATTAAAAAAGGGAAAGAAAAAAAGAAGGGAGGAGATTGGTTTTGTTAAAATATATTTTCTATTTTTTTGTATGGGTTTAATTGTTATATCTTGTATGATGTTGAAAAATTATTCTATTTCGCGTTATTTGTCTTAAAAACACTATCTACTGTTTTGGTGCTTCAAATTATTTTGATTTGTGTGACTTGATTCCGTATGTGTCTCTTCAACAAAAGACGACACAAATACAATAAAAAAAAACAGACACCAAAAAAACATGAACTTCCATCGTTTAAACAATAACGGCACGCATGTGTAATTTCTCTAGCACACAGTATCAACAAACGAATTTGTAAGATACATACAGGAACAGACAGAAATGAAAGAACAAAAGAATCAGAGTATTCTCATCGACCCATTTTCAGGCCAAGATCATATGATATCGGTTAAACAAAACCGGAAGAAAACGGACGGTCAGAGGTTAAGCAATGTCATTGCCTATTATTAGCCTGCAAGACCATTCAACATATCCATTAGTAAGGAGAAGCAGAAAAAGAAGAACATGATCAAAACAAGTAGTCAGTCACCTTTTTCAGGAATTTTTCATGAATCTTCAACGCTTCCTTACACGCTTTTCTCGCGTCCAAATTACCTGCAATACCGCCCAATATCTGCAACCAACCGAAGAAAACAAACACAACTAAATCGCCATAAAACCAGAGAAGAGTTAAATTTCTTAGAAAGTTTTTTTCCAAAGAGAGACCTGAACAACGTCATCTAGGCCTTTTGCTTCCTTCAAGAGACGTTTGTTCTTTGTTTCAAGAACGCTTGCTACAACAAAAACAGCAAGCGTGTTGTGTTGCTCGTTCTGGCCATTCTTTATATATTTTCTCTCAAACTTTCCATACTGCTTCAGTAACCTCGGATCCTGTCCTGAGGAGTTGTTTATGTTCTGTGGTTCTTCGTATGATGCAAACTTGTTTGGATTATATTCCATAGCCCACATCAGCTGAAACAAAATTCTATCTCACAGTCTTATTATCAGCTCAAATCATGACACTCTAAACCCTGAAAGAACATGAATTGGGTTCTCTCAGGTGAATGAAAATCAATTTCACATCCCTAGAATCAGCTTATGACATCAAGAAATGCGGATGAGTTTTTGTAAACAGAATCTTGTTACCTCCCAAAGGTACAAAGCATCAAGGAAGGAGAACTCTCTCCTGAACAATACCATCAACATTCGTATAGCAAACAGATACTCTCCACCGTCGAGATCCTCTGTTGTGGGAAACAGAATATAACGTCTTAAACAGCCATGAGAAATGCAAGAGAAAACGAAGCTCAATGGAAAGGCAAAAGGAAGGAGTACCAAGATGCTGATGTAGCCGAGGATCAACGGTTTTAATGACCTGTGAGAGCATACCCAGCTGAGTCTGGACGCCCATTGATGTTGCTGTTGTCCTGAAATTTTCTCTCTGAAATTCAAGAAAACTAAAAACCATGAAAACAGTAACAAACCCAGAGATGACACAGAACAAGACAGAAGCTTAAGATCTTTACTAGTCTTCGCATTGCACGCTCAAAGCACCAGAAAGCGTCGGCTTCATCTTCAAGTAGGATTATCATCGGGGAACATATGTCATTCATTCCTATACAAAATGGATGATTAATTCCTATTCTTTTACATGTTCTCCTGAATATTTAGTATTAACACCAAGGCGGACTTACCTTGAACATAGCCAATATCAGGATTTAACCATGTATAGATGGAAAGAATATCCCATAGTCTTGCTTGATTACTTTCACTCTCATAAAAGCAGAGATACCGATCCGTTCTAACCACATCGAGACCTGCAACAAAATTTCACCTTATTAGCAGTTCTTTAAGAGCACTTGACATATTTTTGAAATCTGAATTCTGACACTTATACAGAATGCTAGAGAACATAAACTTATTGAGTAGGTAACAATACCGATTTGACTCAAGACAAGCATCCACTGGAGCACACGCTTGTCGGTTATAGCGGTTTTCACAAGCCATCCTTGATTCTCTACTGAGGATTCTTCTAATGGCTGCCCATCTTCCGCAACAACTGCCATCGTGACAAACTTGCCGCTACCAACAAGAGGAACCATATTCCGACATTCTTCTTTCCAACCATAATACTGCTCCCTTAGATAATAAGTGCAGCAATATGAAGTGCAATGTCAAGAGCGGAAAACATTACTCGAAAGGATCTACAGAACCAGTAAGCATTTAGTAAGTACCTTCTGTGATTCCTCAACTTGTTCCGCTCTTCAAACGTGCTGTCCGGATCGTAACCTCCTAACAAAAACTCCCAAACCTCTCCTTTGATTGAGGGATGAATTCCCTGAAATTGAACTCAAGTGAACAACAAGGTCATAAGAACAAAAAAGAGATAAGATACCAAAATAAGACTTACCCCTCGCTGTATACGGCGAAGAACTCTTTCCATATCCAAATGTCCATCTTCAGTAAACGCAGCGTGCCATTTTCTAGCACTTAGAGTTTTACCAGCCTGATCATAATATCCCACAAATGAAAGATTCAAACTTTGAAACAAATTTGATTGATCAAGAACATAGATGGTCTAAAAAAAAGGACAAACCCTTGATTTAAATCGAGTCCTGGGAACATCTGCTACACATTCTGATCTAACTGGATAGAAACCTTGCAAATCTTCACCTCCGGATTTCCACATAAATCCACAACAAATCATTCAAAGCTTCACTTTTCTTTTTTCTTTCTGGGTCAATCCAGATTCAAAGCAAACCTATTATAGACTATCCTCCCTGTACAAATTCATCAAAACAACTAACAACAATCAAAATTGACCCTTAAACATCTTTTCTTTCTTTTATGTAGCTAGAAGCCTAAAAGTCAAGTTTCTCCAACAAACAAAACTCCATTTAAAGGAAAGTACCAGACTCAGGACAACACCATCTAAACATTGTCCGGCAAAAACATAACCTTTAAGCAATCAATTATGTACCTTGTCGGATTCAACATCATGAACCAGAATGCTAAATCAAACTTCGTGCTTCGTCCTCTCTATTGGTCAATCGAAATTCAGAGAATTTAAATCTTGGAGCGAGGAAAAGGCCCTGCGTCACGACAAGGTCACCGTCGGAGGCTGCCGTTAAACTTGACGGTTTCAAACGACGATTATTGGCATACACGTTATACACTTTACAACGACGTCGTATATAAATTCATAATAATAATAATATAATTAGTTTAACTCAAAACTGAAACAGTAACATTGAATTAAGCTCAACAAGTTGTCATGATTACAATAAGAAAGTGTGTAAAAATTTGATACAAAATCCAGAGAAGATGATGACAATACATGAAAAATTGGGAGTTTCGTGGAAACGAAGGACCAAACAACATATGTAAAGAAGAATCCAATTTACAGCAAAGAGCCCATTGATGAAGGCTTCATTTGCGGATCGAAAGAAGCTCGAAGCTTCTAAGAGCCTCGTCACGTGCTGTCCTCGATGCAGCTACTCTGTCGCGGTTAAAGGCAGAGGCTGTCTTTGATTCATATCCACTCACAGCAGCTGCTGCTTGAGTTCTCTGAAAGACTGATGGTCGGATACCGCTACCGCTTGAGGCCACACGGCTCGAGTCCCGGCTCTCTCTTTGTTCACCAGATGAGCTTGGCCTACTTCCTGAGGCTACCGCTCTCCTTGAAGCACTGCCGTATCTGGAAGTGTTTCTTCCTTTCTCAGATACCATATTCTGATCAATCAAAGAAAATGACATATCAAGAACGAGCAAGACTTGAGACTTATTTCTTGAAAAGTGTTGAATCAATTCGTGCACATTCTATACTGTAATCATTTATAAAACTTTTGATCCAAAAACTTAGATGATGATGATTTTTTACCACAGCAGGTTTCATTGAAGGAATTTCGTCAAGAGTTCGATGTCTGGTATGGTTTTGATGGGGACTGGGTCCTCTAACATTCCTTCTCGCGAACGCTTCGACTGCACCTGAGAATTTATCGCGGATGTTCCCTACTGTAAGACATACAGGATCACAAAATCAGAACTGACCACCGTTTAGCTGAGCAGAGTTATATGTTTCTTAACTTTCAAAAAAAGTAAAAGATTACCTGAAATCCTTTCAGGTTTTTCAGCAGACGGTCCCGCAGCCATCCCTGGTTTACCGGTACGATGCTGAAGAAGAGATTAATACGAAACCAAAGTGAGTATGGACACTCGATACTTGATAGAGAAATCTATAGACATGTATACTCACCCTTTCATGGGTGCTGGAATGGGATCTGGCACTACTCTGAGGGTGTTTCAATGCAGTCCAGTCGAATACATAGTCAAACTGATAACCTGATACCGCGAATCCATTTGATATCAAAAGAGTCAAACATTTATAGATATATCAAGAAAGATTTCAATATCTAGAAAAGTAATATTTCTACTTAAATGAATTGCTTTGCTATTTCACAGTAACTAGTAAAAGTAAAAGTCTAGCTTCTGAAATTGCAAACCTTCACGGATAAACAAGTCTCTGAAAAGTCTCTTTAGATATGAGTAGTCTGGTTTGTCTTCAAATCGCAAAGATCTGCAGTATTGAAAGTATGATACGAATTCGGGTGGATATGACTTGCACAAGACCTGTTACAAGTATGGTAGAACAATTAACCCTTGACTTATGTCACAATGAGATAGCTGATCTAGCTCCAGTCAAGGGTATCTAAGCCATATTGTGTCTTTACCATACCTCTATAGGAGTTGATACTTTCTTCTCGCTAATTCTGTCATACTTCTGCTTCTTTGTGCCAGCTTTTAGTCCCTGCCACGGTAGGCTGAACCCGAAAATCCCAGAAAAATTAGAACAGAACAAGCACGCCCAAAGATTTAGTCAGAAAAAAAAGATTCTGTATGCACAACCTTCCTCTCAGGAAATACATGAGCACATAACCAAGAGACTCCAGATCATCCCTCCTACTTTGCTCTGCCAACAGATGCAAACATGTACACATTTTAGGAATTGGATATACGATTTTGGAGCAGATCTCAAGTGGTTCTATGTATCGCTTACCAACTCCAAGGTGAGTGTTGACACTAGCATACCGAGCTGTGCCCGTAAGATTCTTGTTTTCTCTGTAATGAAAACAACATGAGTATTTGTAAGAATTTAAGTAAAAACAAAATGAAAGAAGTAGACAAAGATGCACATGAAAGCACCATAGATCACCTATAGGGGATGTGCCTATGTGTTTGGAGATCCCTATACTTCTTTGCAAGCCCAAAATCAATGATGTACACCTAGATACACATTATTCAGAACATAATTTCAGTATCCATTTTCAGCTAAGAAATTCTGTTTCTTACACTGTAGGAAATCTAAATGAACAAATATTTGATGGATAGAAAGCAAAAGAAGGAACTCATGTTCATAACCATAGTATCATAGCAACAGTGAAAGAAAAAAAAAAGAAGATGGAATCCAACATAACGTTCTCTGTGGGAAACAATCCACCAACAGAAAGTATATAAAATCAAGCACCTGGTTTGCTTTGCGACCAAGTCCCATCAAGAAATTGTCAGGTTTTATGTCACGGTGAAGAAATCCCCTTGAATGCATATATTCAACTCTGCTAATCTACAATGATCAACAAACATTTTAGGTGGAACTCCCGAACTTCTAACATTATTTATTCTACCTTGAAAAAGTGAAAGCAGCACTTGAGAATACTCACCAGTTGATCTGCAAGCATCAAAACTGCTTTCAAAGTAAGCCTCCTATTACAATAGTTGAACAAGTCCTCCAAACTGGGCCCGAGTAGATCAATGACCATCGCATTGTAGTCTCCCTGAACCCCAAACCACTTGAGACTGGGGATGCCACCTTCACCACATAGAACAAATTAAAAATCCCGGAAATTCGATATCAGAAGAGCAGGGTTCAACGACCATTTTGCACAATGATAACAGCTACATATTTCGACCAGAGAACTCATCTCAAAGTTGTAAACTTACTTCCTCCTTGTAGAAGCATGTATATCTTCGACTCATAATGAAGTTGAGGATGCTTAGTTTTCGCAGGCTCCTTCAAAGTTTTACAGAACATTAGACATAATTGGTAGTCGAATTTCCCCAGCAACTAAAATCCTCAATAAAAATACAAGTTTTTCGATAATTAAGAAGCTATGGAAGATACATTAACTGATATTGATGCAATGTAGCATGTTTTACTCAAAAAAGAATGAAGCCAAAGATTGATATAACTAATCCGGTATGGCTATTACAAGTAACAAAGACTATTGAATTTCAAGAGGCAGTTCCTTTCAATACAAAACAAAGCGTAAAAATTCAATTTTGACTCGTCCCCTGAATCTTAAATCACATGTTATTGATGAGAAAGAAGACAAGATTCGAATAATACCAGCTTAACAGCTACTTCCTCTCCGGTTTGCAGACTTACGGCTGAAAAAATATATGCAAGAACAGATTTAATTCACATAAGGAAAAAAAAAAGGTAATCACACAAAATTGAATACAAACTAAAAAGAACAGATCACAGAGAAATGATAAAAAAGAAGCAATTTTTACCAAGAAAAAGCTCTCCAAAAGAGCCACCGCCGATCTTGCGACCAAGTTTAAACTTGCCCCCAATGACATTATCCATTCTCAAGTCCATTCAATAATACTTTCAAAATCACCTGGAAGGTCTCTGTTTTGGACAAAGCGGATTTAAATGCCCTAATTAAGAAGCAAGTGCTGCATAATCACCATCTTAGATCGAAACAGGTCAACGGGACAAGAAGACAATGAATCGCCTCTCCTGCGTGAGAAATAACATCAATCCAATGTCGTGCGTGACCCAGGGCGTTGAAGAAGAGTTGAATCGCCGAAACAAACGAATCAGACAGAGAAGAAAGTCATAGAAAATAATCAGACAACCCAGATTGATTTGTCACATTCCCCAAATCAAAAAAAAGGTGACGAATTGATATTTCTCGGTGAAAGAAAAGTTGACCCAGTAAAAACATGTACATGGAGAGAGGAAACGAATTCTAAATGGGCCTAACACTTTATTACCCGGCCCGACCCAAATGTTTCAAAAAGGGCCAAAAGTCTTTTGTGTGTTGCGCATATCCAATCTTTTAATACACCAAAGTGGTACACTATATATTGATTATTAAAGATCTAGTTGTAAACTTGTAATTATATAGAGGCTTTGTGCATTTAGAAACACGCAAGGACTAGTCGGTATGCGTTCTTGAGAGTCTCTATCAAGGACACATTGGTCTACACTACACGGGTAACAATCAGGTCCAAAACAAACAAAAACAGTTTATATATAAACATACTAGAGAGTAGCTTTTGAGAATTATTACTCCCTCTATTTTACAAAGAGTGTCATTCTATCATTTTTTTACACAAATTAAGAAAAGTAAACAAATTTCATTTTTACCCTTTATTAATACACTAAATAATACCCCCTCACTAATTAATAAGCTAAAATAGTAGAGATAAAAAAGAGAATTAGTCTTTAAAACTGCATTGAAAACACAAAACGACACTCTTTGTGAAAAAAGATTAAAACGACACTTTTTGTGAAACGGAGGGAGTATTATTTATGATATTTATACTAATCATTAATGCTAATAATTCAAGCTTATGTGTATGTTGTTTTGTCTTTATCATAGAAGCGACGTTGAAGTCATTGGGCCTGATCCACCTGTCTTAGGCCCACTTTGCAACGTGGAATATTTTCCTAGTGTGTAGAGGATATTTCTTTCTGCTGCTGCACACATGAATGTGTCGAGGGAGAAGGCTATTGGTCATTGATGAAGTCATGAAGAGGCGTCAATGGCAAGTCTACTGAGTCCACGTAGTCAATAACCCGAAACGTCTAGATTGAGATTTTTCATATCGATGAATGAAGCTTGTAAATTACTCATCGTTATTTTTATTTTTTTGTGGACAAACTTTTCGCAATGGTATCTTTATTAGTTTCAGCTAAGGAATATGCTTAATTTTTAAGATCTTTGACTCATTTTTTCTCCATGATCGTCGTATAAGATAACCTAGTTTAGTAGTAACACTTTAGTCGCCAATTTATTTATAACATTAATTATTTTTCGGAGGGATTCAGTTGGA